AAGAAGAAGAAAGCTCTTCGAGGCTTACTTTGATCAAAGCGCTTTTGGTATCGACTTTTGTGATTAGGGAAAGAGCATTGCAAAGTATAAAGAAAGAGCGTCTTAAACCTCCGGCGATTACCGATAGGGAAGAGGCAGCGCCGTCTGAGAGCGGGAAGAAGAATTCCCTTTTTTCCAAATTTATCATTGTTCCTTCCACTACTTCAACTTGGCTTCCTCTTTTTCAAAAGATAATAAAAATCCATCGTTTTCTGTAATTGTGTTTTCGCCTTAAATTAAATAATGTGAATCGCCACCGTACACTTGTGTTTTTGTTGAATTTTTCCTTTTAAATTTATGTTTTTAGTTTACCGAAGAAACCCCTTTCCTTATAAGAAAAATGGCAAGCTCTTATTAGGCGCCATTTCAACGCCCCACCCAAAATTCCTCCCGTTCTTTCGGCCTCAGTTTATCCTCTACTTCAATTTTGTTGCTAAACCCAGTTCAGTTCAACCTCGACTGGAACTGGAAAAGTAATTTCGTGATGAATTTGCTCACTATCAACTGTCGTTGCAAATCAACGAACGCTGCTTCCACCTTCAATCCACTCACATGGCGGAATTCTACCTTTATCGGTAAGTCTGCTAACTCGGCTTCGGTCACTTTTTCACTTGTTAAATCGCTCTTGTTCTTCAATAAAAACGCCAACCCTAAAATTGAATCAGCTAACAATTCAATCAACGTCTTTCCAAATTCTTGAATCAATGGCGATTCGCGCCATGCTTGATTCATTTGTAAGGATTATATTCTTCTTTAAATTGTTTAAATACGGCTGTGTTTCGTTAGGTAGGAAGGTTACTGGGCTCATTGATGTACAGAGGGTTCTTCCCACAGGATTATGGAGTGTAAGATTTGCAATGTTCGTTTTTCTCTGATTATATGTTTTTTTCTTTTTGCCCTTTAAGATAGCAGCCCTTTTTTGGGTGTAGAGGTCAAATGCAAAGCCAAAGGTTCATGCAAAGCGGAAACCCGCGAGGAAGCTTGAAAGAACGGGAGAGGAAGTTTCTATACCGTCCTCTTCTGTTGATGATAATGCTCAAGATATGAAGATGAACTCTTCGGACAGTTCATCTAAGAACCGCTTGATTAATATCTCCTCAAGGAGTTCTGTGGTTCAGGCTTGCATAATTACTTCTGGTTTGATTGCTGCTTTGGGAGTAATAATTCGACAGGTGACGCATACCAAGCCAAACATAAACTTTTGTTGGTGTTCATTTCTTGATTTAGGATAGTCATTCTAATCACGTAGGGAAAGTGGAGCATGATTTTAAAAGTTGAGACATGTTCCTTATGCTATAGCTGTAGATTTGTTTTACGACTGATTACTGGCCTTTATGATGGATATAATTAGTGTCTTGACGTATTGGAAAGACTATCAATGGCGATTTAAGATCTGTTTTAATGTTTTAGGTATCTCATGTTGCATCGATAGAGGGATTGCCAGTGATTGACTGCACCTCAGAAGTATCATGTAGGACTTCCAAGTTCATTTATCCCTTCTTGCTAATTTACTATTCATCTTGAAGAGAGAGTGTTTGTAATAGTCCAAGCCAACCGCTATAAGATATTGTCCTCTTTAGGCTTTTCTTTCTAGGCTTCCTCTCAAGGTTTGATAACGCGTATGCTTGGGAGAGGTTTCCACACTCTTATAAGGAATGTTTCGTTTCCCTCTCTAGCCGATGTGGGATCTTACAATCCACCCTCCTTAGGGGCTCACTGTCCCTATCAGCACACCGCCCTTGAAGGGAAGGTATAAAGAGGACAATATTTTCTAGGGGTGGGCTTGTGCTGTTACAAATGGTATCAGGGTCAGACACCGGGCATGTGCCAGCGAGGACGTTGCACCTTCAACGGGGGTGGATTGTGAGATCTCACATCGGTTGGAGAAGGGAATAAAATATTTCTTGTAAGAATGTGGAAATCTCTCCCTAGTAGACACGTTTTAAAACCTTGAGAGGAAGTCATTGAAGGGAAAGCCCAAAAAAGACAATATACACTAGCGGTGGGGTGGGCTTGAGGCTATTACACTTTTTTTTGTCACCTCATTGATTCTCGGTGTCATTTCTATTCAATACAAACTATTTTGAAAGCTTTGAAAGAATGGTTAGAATTGGAACCACAATCTTCTTTTACATTCTCTTGGATTTCGTAGTTATGGACTGAGTGACTATGAAATCCAGAAAAATAACAATATTGATATGGATTACAATATTTAACTTATGTACTCCATTCTGGCAGTTAGTTTTGAGATGAGGCAACTTCAGTTGATTACAGGACTGGTTGTTCTAATATCTTCATCCCGATTTTTACTGTTGAAACTATGGCCAGACTTCGCCGAGTCTAGTGAAGCAGCGAATCGACAGGTAGCTGGTTGTTTAGTTTTAATCTGTAAATCTAGAGGCAGCAAGAGCTGAAAAATGTTTTTGCTGCGAACTTATAAATCATTTGAAAATACTCCACAACTCCCAGTGCAGGTGCTCACTTCTCTTCAACCCATAGATTATGCGCTAGTTGCGTTTTTGCCCGGCATTAGTGAGGTGAGTAAAGTATATCAACACTCTCTCATTTTCTTCTAAATCTATTTTCAAGTAACACTATACGCCTCCTCTGTGAACCTTAGGAGTTGCTTTTCCGTGGCGCATTGATACCGCTCTTGGGATTCAACTGGGCAAGTGTCATGTTGACAGCCGCCATTTTTGGCATTCTACACTTGGGGGGTGGCCGGAAGTATTCATTTGCAATATGGTATTCATATCTCTATCTGAACTTCATATCATAATGTAGAAACTCTATGTTCAGCAATAGATCATGAATCAAATCATATGGCTTTGCTCTTACAATATGCCGATGGTTAAAAACTGCTTACTTTTCGTTGCATCCATTTTATTTGGCAGGGCAAGTTTTGTCGGACTTGCATATGGTTATGCGACTATCGAATCCTCCAGCGTCGTTGTGCCTATGGCTTCTCATGCATTGAATAATTTGGTTGGAGGAATTCTTTGGCGCTACCAATCAATGAATTTGGAGAATGGTGAAGATCAAAAATGATGATGATGAATTTCTTGATTTATAGATATTTGCTTGGATAAGCATCTGTGACAAATTCATTCAATCAATGGGTAGATAAGTATTATTCATTTGGGACTTTAAAAACTCGCATGAATTCTCCACCACAAGCCAAAATAGAACGAATAAGAAGACAATTAAGAGAGGCAGGTTGGCCAATTAGTTGGCCAGTTGCTTGTAATTGGAGAGTATAGGTGGCAGCTCAGGATGGTCATATGCTTGGCTAATTAGTTGGCCAGCGCCTCACCTACCAAGTTTGATGGTTGTGCCCAAAATAATTTAATATGCCCATATCTCATAAATTGAATTTTGTAATTATACCACATTTATGGATGCTTCAAAATATTATACTTGTCAGATCTCTTTCTAACCGATGTGTTTAAAATTATGAAGCTGACGGTGATCTCTAACGAGTTAGATCGAACAATATTTACTATCAGTAAGCTTGAGCGGTTACAAATAGTGTCATAGCTAAATACTAGGTGGTGTTTAAGTGGGGATGCTAGACCCCAAAGAGGATTCACATTGCATAGACAGGGGAGCAAAACATTTCTCATAAGGCCATGGAAACTGATCACTATTATCTGCTAGCGATCAGTTTGGGCGGTTGTTACAATACTATTATCTAGAAAATAAAATTTATATATTAATATTTAATATTTATTAACGTGAAATATATATGTTTTAAATTATTGTCACGATGCTTTTAAAATATAAATAGATATAATATAAAAAAAATAATATAAATTCCTATAACCGTTTAAATCAACTATAACTATTAAAAGTAGTTACATTATTACATTGCGCGTGCAATTATTATTAAAATTAAATGATTCCCTCTATCTGTAAATAATAATAATAAGCTACAAAAGTCTATCATAACCCGCTTGGAATAAGAGAATTCGTAAGTTTAAGTGTTTAATTGGTCCATTTTAATTTTCGTTTCAATCCAAGAGAAAAAAAGACTCACGAGTTCAATTTGTATACTCTCATCTCATACGAGCTCTAACGATGACTTACGACTATTTTTTAAGGCGTCTAAAAAATGTGACTTTATCGCGTTAAAAAAAGGACCTATTTAATAAGCAAATGAAAAGGAGCGCTACACCACAAACTGAATGATTTTCTTCAATGAAAGAACGTTAGACCTTTGCTTTGAGGAAGAAAGAAAGATTTTGACTCCAAGGGAACAACATTGGCTTTTTATCTATCTATATTGATCTTTTCACTTCTATGCAAATTTCTTAGTGCATAGTCTGAGTATGAAGTTTAGTGGCTTTCATCGTTGACGAACACCTGCGCTAAGAAGACAATGAAGTGAGTGGGAGTCAATGCCTTCCTTGAGTGAATCAATAACAACTCATTAGTGTAACAAGGGAGAAAGAGACGGATAGGATGAGAATGACCTATCAACCATTGGTGCCCGTTGAATCTACTAGTTCTCCTCAAAGTCAATAGAATATAATTCGATGTTCAACATTCATCCATACGCAATCTCTGCTTTGGTCCTATTGATGTCAACCATAGAGCTCGCACCTAGATAAAAAAAAAAAAAAAAAAAAACAAAAAGGTGACCTCTTCAACCCTCTAAGCTAAGTAAAACAATGAATTGATTAGATGGTTGCAAAGCCATAAGATCGAGTGAAAGAAGGGAGAAGAAGGACATAATGTTTTTTCCAATGATGCCAGAGAGGAGTTTCCCAAATTGACTTTCAAACCCTTTGAAGGAGAAAGATGAGTGAAAGAATAAATGGGTTAAAAAAGAAGAAAGGTCGATGCAAACAAGTTCGTGAAGAAACAAGTTTGACCGAGAGTGTCACTCTCTCCTAGCTCCCTAATTTGATTTATAGAATCAATGTGTACCCAATAAATTCTCAAAAGAAAATAAAAACACAAATTGAATGTTTATTGAGATTTTAAATGAGGTGGTTTGCTCATCTACTTCAGCGATCCATCATCCGTTTTCATAATTGAAACCGCTTCATCCTTTACTTCATCTTCTTGTTTTCTACGTTGACGAATGTGCTTTTGGCTCCTTTAAAACCCAGACTTCAAAACCCACAATCTCCCAATACCAAGATGGAGCTCAATTGTGTTGAGCAGCTTAAATCCCAGCCCCTCTGGGTTTGCTTGCTATTCGCGTTCGGATCTCTCTCGGCTTTGACATTCTTAGTAATCGTTCTCAAATGGGTCTATGTCAATTTCCTCAGATCCCCAAAGAATCTCAAGAAATACGGTTCTTGGGCGCTTGTCACAGGACCCACTGATGGAATCGGTAAGGGTTTCGCCTTTCAGCTGGCTCGCAAGGGGCTCAATCTGATTTTGGTGGGTCGGAACCCTGAGAAACTCAAGGACGTTTCCGATTCAATCGTCGCTAAATACGGCAGCATCCAAATAAAGAACGTTGTCGTCGATTTCTCCGGCGATCTTTCAGAAGGGATGAAGAGAATCAGCGAAGCGATTGAAGGGTTGGATGTTGGGGTTTTGATTAACAACGTTGGGGTTTCGTATCCGTACGGAAGGTTTTTCCACGAAGTGGATGAGGAGCTTCTCAATAACTTAATCAAGGTCAATGTGGAAGGCACTACCAAGGTGACTCAAGCTGTTTTGCCTGGAATGTTGAAGAGGAAGAGAGGCGCCATTGTTAATATTGGTTCTGGTGCTGCCATTGTCATTCCTTCAGATCCCTTATATGCTGTCTATGCCGCCACCAAAGCGTAAGATCCATTTCTTTATTTGTTCATATTCCTGAAATTCTGCTATTGTCTGTCCATAGTTTATGCATATTTCGTTTAGATTTGATGTTTCTAGCTGGAAAATTGACGAATGTTGAAATAATTCCAGGTACATTGACCAATTCTCGAGGTGCCTGTATGTGGAGTACAAGAAGAGTGGAATCGATGTGCAATGTCAGGTAATATCTCGGTTGTTAGTCTCTGGTTCAGATTGAGATCTAAGGATATTGAAATAATCAACTTCAACTCAACTGTTTAAAAGAAGAAAAGGTTTTGTTCCAATGAGCTCTAGTGTGAGTTCACATGACTTCATGTTCAGGACTCGGATGAGGATCTGGAATCCGGATTCGGGGCCATTTGATGGCCCCGACATTCTACTGCAACATGGTCACACATGCATCAAAGTCACCCAATGTAGAATTGCTCTAAACAAATCATACTTTAACTAGTGAAATATGAAGTTCTTGTGATTGAGCTGGTTCGAACATAGCATCTAAGTCATTGTTTGTCCCTTAATTTGGTCATCAAGTTCATGATACGTGAAAACATGATGGTTTTCTACTGCAGTTGTTAGATGGTCTGTCTTTAAGTTCTGTTTATTTTTAGAGCAGCTTTGAAAGCCAAAGCAAGATATGGGAAATCTGTTGACTCACTCGATTAATAAACTTGGTCGATATAGGTCCCGCTGTATGTTGCTACGAAAATGGCGTCTATTCGACGATCATCCTTCTTCGTTCCTTCGACGAATGGATATGCAGCAGCAGCTCTCCGCTGGATTGGGTATGAGCCTCGCTGCACACCGTATTGGCCCCATCAACTTATGTGGGGTTTGGTGTACTTGTTGCCAGAGTCTGTTGTTGATGCTTGGCGCCTGAAGTTTTGTCTTGGCATCAGAAAGAGAGGACAACTCAAAGACTCGAGGAAAAAGGAAGAGTAGGAAGATTCAAGATATGTAGTGCTGTTCTAATTCTTCGCATTGAATTCTGGAACCACAGACCTGCTAGATCTGAATGTTTTGAGTTTTGTTCTTCTTTTCAATGACCTTTCAATATATTTCTTAGAAAGCTAATGGTGAAAAGACTTTGGTAACGATGCGCTGCTCCATTTTGTTCTCATCTTTGTTGGATGAAAGTCCTACCTCGGTTAATTTAGAAAATGATTGAGTTTATAATCAAAGAATACTATCTCCATTGGCATGATGCTTTTTGGGGAAGTCCCCCAAAGCAAAGTTACGAGAGCTTATGCTCAAAGTGGACAATATCATAGTCTAACCATCTTTAATCTTGAATATATGACAATGTTCTTATGGATACCCATTAGCCCATTTGATCGCGGTCCATTAGCCCATTTGATCGCGGTTTGATACTCTTAGATCTTATATAAGTGCTCTAAGAACATTTTGCAAACTGCTTCGTATCATATTTGAAGATTTTTTTGTGTCGGTTCTTTTCTTATGTTTGTCGGCCATGATGTTGGTAGCTGAATATGAAGGATTCATTACCTTTTTAAATTGTTGAACTAAGAAACAAAATATAAACTTTAAAATATATATTTTTATTTTTTTTTTATAAACAAACATACTTTTGATTATTTTATACAAAAAATCATTAAAAAAAATCACTAATATATTTTAAATTTTAAAGTTTGTGTCTAATTAAAAAACTATCTAATAAGTTTTAAAAATTTTAAATCTATTTTCAACGGAATCTTTAATATGGTAAGAAATATTATAAAATATTATTAAATTTCAAGATTTTATTAAGAGTTTAAATTAATTTAACATGGGCTAAAAATTTGCTTACGGCCACCGTATTCTTATCGGGCTATAAACTGGCGTCGGCCCATATAAATTAATGGGCCAAGTTGGACGGTCGTTAAATTTCGTAGCATTAACTGTTCCTTCCTTCAACATTCGCGCTTCAAATCCCAGAGGTGGCTCGTAGCCGCCTTCAGTATCCCTTAAAACTTTCCTTCTTCTCCAGCCATTGCGGTTCTCCTCTTCGGCTCTGTTTTGCTGTTTCAGTGCTAATGTCAACCCGCTGAAGGAGAGGGCTGCAGATTACCCATTATAAGATCGCTTCTTATTGCTTTGCCCTTGCAGTTCAGCATTGAATTGTATTCGATGTCGATGCTGGATTCTCCCACATGTTCCGTCGATGCTGCGGCGTCTCACAATACTGTTTTCATTGACACCAGCCTCGGCACTCACTTGGCGATGGCCGTCTCAGACGGTGATATCGTCTCTGATATCAAAAGTAAACTTCTGCTATCTCCTTTTGTTTTTCATCATCTTCTTTCTGCGGGTATGCTGTTGTAGAGTTTATCATTGCATTCAAGATCGGTTTAGCTATATCTGGTTAATTAATTTTGGGGTAAAGCTTATGCACGAAGGTTGTATATCATTTGAATGAGTTTTGAAGTTTTGGGATGCAAGACTTTGGCGTTTTGGAATGTTGGTTTTGGAACACAAGATCTATATTTTCATGTCCAATAGCTGTGAACTTAAATTTTCGCCCTTTGGTTATTTTATGTTCTCTCTGATGCTGTCTGACATTCCTAACGAGACATTATCAGTGATAGAGATTAAAATATAAATTACACAAAATTAATTGTTTTAATTGAAATCTTGATATATTTCCGTATGTTTTAGTTTATTTCTATGGCTAACTCTTTCGTTCTCTTTCAACATTACTACACTAATTCTTCTTGTTATCATTATTTTCTTAGTTCAAGTGAAATGGAGTCGAATTTTCTCCAAACTCTATCTGCCTATCTGATACGATTAAAATTGTTTATTATTATTATTATTAATAATAAAAGATTTTTCTTTAACCGGCAAGGCTGGTCTGAAAACCATTGGTTTCTCAGTTTTCGGCTTTGGGAAATTAAATTTATAAACACTAGTTCCACTTATGAGTTTTTCAGTCGGGTGTCTTCTTTTTAGGGACGCTTTCAAGATTCAAGCCTAATTTTGAAAAAGTAATTTTTAAACATTTTTGTTTTTGAAATTTGGCTATGAATTCAAGTATTTTCTTGAAAAAGCTGAAAAAAAACGTTGCAAGAAAATTGTGAGAAAACAGACTCAGTTGTCAAAGATGATATGATTTGTAAAGTGTTTTTATGGTTTATATATTTTACATTTGAAATGACACCTTGATGCTTTTGCACGCAGAAAAGATAGAGAAGGAACATCCACTGTGTTTTCCTCATCTCGGGACCCTAAAAATTCATGCAATTAAGGTGCTTAATTATTTTCTGTATACGTGAGCACAATCGATTATATGTACCTCTATTATTTACAGCTATGGGGATTTTAAACTGTCAGGTAACGCGCAAAGGGCACTTCTATCACCTTTCTGACTCCATGTATTTGAAAAGTGCATTTGTTGGCTACAATGACTGCTGGTTTCTTTCTGTTGATGCTTCTATTGTTGATGGTCAGTCAACTGACCCTAATACTGGCAATCTTTCAACTTATTTTGAAAGGGCAGGTGATATCTCCGTTGATAGAATAAATGTTGCCAGAAATAATCATGGTGGACATTTACCTAACCATGATGCTCCACAATTACAAAACATTGTGACACAAGAATATGTCAATGAGAAAGCCCCTAGTAGAAAAGATTTAACGACTGAGAAGGAAGAAGTTACTCATTCTGTTGAAACTTGCAGCAAACATAAATCGGGCAGGATAAGGAATGGCTATGAAGGCCTCAGCGAAACACTGGAATCTTTGCCTACTATGAAGGTGAATCGTAAAAGTAAGAAGAGAAAAACAAAATTGATTACTGAACACGAAGTTGTTAATCATACCGGTGATGATAATGATCAAAACCCATTGCAGCAAGTCGTTGGATCTGGTGAAAAATCCAGGGAATATGCACATAATAAAGTTTTCGATCATCCAATGATGGAGAGAAAATCCAATGTAGGTGAACCTGGTCAGGTCTCATCTTCTAGTGCTCGTGATGAATCTGAACATGGAAGGACGCTTAAGTTTAATTTATCTGAGGAAGCTGAGGTTGATGACAAAAATTATAAATCCGAATATCTGATGGATGATACTTCTTTGGTAGGTGCTGCACAGGCTGGGTTCATTGCAAAAAAAATGCCCATGATTGAAATGACAAGTGGAGTAATGAATGGAGTGGAAGGAAACAGAGTTTTTGTTTCTGAATCTAGCAAAGCGACATCTACACCTAAGGTTACTTCCGAGTACTTGTCGGATATGAACCAAACTGCAAAAGTTGCCGTAGGTAGTTTGTCTACTGAACCTGATGATCAACTGCCCAAGACTGGTTCAAGTTATGAGAAGAAGAAGACAAGGAAAAGGAAAAGTAAGTTGTCATGTTGTCCAAATGAGGCTTTTGGTTTGATTTCATCTAGAGTAGAGGATCAACAGGATGCAAGTCGAGAATCTGATATAACAACTGTCCCCAGTCAAGATATTGAGGAGGCATCAATTCCCAACCTCCTGGGAGCATCCAGGAAAAGGCACAATGATTCAAATGATAAAATTGCAGAAATTTCTGCACCGTCCTTGGTTGGAGAGTCCTGTATGTTTCTCTTCAAACATTCTAATGTGGTTGTATGTTAAATGAAAGATCGTGTTTACAGCTTCACAAACTAGGCCAATAAATAATGGGTTCTGATATTGATTCATATTCTTCTTGTAGGTGATGATAAGAACAACATTGAACTTGGCGATGTGCAAAGCATAAGGAATGCGTCTGATAAAGCTGTGTTAGGAGTAAAAGGAATGATTGATTCAAAGGACATTGCCTCTAAAAGCAAGGATCCCGCTGATCTCCAGAAAAGCATTAGTACATCTGAGGATGCCAATAATGTTCGAGGCAATCATCTTACGTGCAAAACCAGAAAGGTTGTTCCAATTCTAGAGGGAAGAGAGTTTCTGCAGGTCACCGATACAAAAGCCTCAATGGTAGAGAACTGTCACTCATCAAGCTGGGATGGTACTGACGCTAACATTAAAGCTGCTGATATTTCTGAATCGGTACATTTAAAGGGAACTACTGAAAACGCCAAGCATGGTAAGAAAAGGAAGATTAAAAAATCTAGGGGTTCAGCAGAAGAAAGACAGATTAATTTAGTCACAAAAGGTGCTGGAGATACTGCACAAGACATTCTTCCAACCGAGCCACAAAGTTCTACTTTAGGTGATAATTCTTGTAGTAAAGCTGAGATTGGAGAAAACAATGTTTCTCTAATGAAGGGAGAAACCACAACTAGTACTTCCTTAATACCTGATGTTAGGAATATAGATATAGATAAACCAATTATAAGTAAGGTGGGACCTTCGATGCAAATCAACCAAACTCAAGCAGTAGCAAAAGACATGGATGGGCAAGTGAGAAAGAAAACTAAGAAGAGACCTGTGGCATCAATGAAAAGTACATCAGACCTTCAAGAAGAAAGTATCGGTAATGAGGATTCATTCCCATCAAAGAGAATTGACAAGGAAGTAAAACCTATGTCTATAGCGGCAAAGAAAACTAAGTTTCCGAAAGCAAATTTGAGGAATGAAATTGAAGATGCGAATTTGGACTCTACGCTGTTTTCTGAGGTTGAAACTACTCCTAGCATTTGCAAGAAGTCTAAGACAGTTGGGCCCTCCCTCACTCCATCTCTCGTTTCTGAAGGCTATGAAGAGAGGCCTATTGAAGCAAATAGATGTAGCAACACCACTAAAGATGGTACTACTGATAATGTTGACAATCACGATGAAGTTCCTTATAAAAGCGATAAAGTTGGCATTGAGGAAAAGGCTGTCGAACTCCAACACGAATCCGTTGAAGTGCATGTCGACAAGTTGAGTAGAGAGAAAAGTCCAGATACTTCGCTCAAATCTAAAAGAAAAAAGAAAAGTCTAAGTGTCTGCTCTTCTGCGGTCTCCTTGAGTACGCAGAACAAACAGAAGTCAGATGAAAACACAGAGACTGAGGAACATTGGCAAACTAGCAACTCTAGCGCCCTCAAACTTCATGTTGACAATAAGCTAAAGAAAAATTCAAGAGGTGGGGTAAATTCTCTGCCTTCTAATGAGCATAAGCAGCAAACCTCTGACTCTAATAAAGCAGCTAGGGTGAGGGAAAAAGTTGTCGATTCTTCTCGGGGCAGTACTGAAATATACAGTGAGACTCCTGCTTTACCAAAAGCAAGACCCAAGTCGAAAAACTCAGCAAATATGGCTCAACAGGACCAAAAGCATAGGGGAAGTCAATCTACTGTTATTGGCCATCCTCTGGGTGAACAAAAACCTTCTCGGAGTGGGAAGCAAGATGATACTCAATCACAACGAAAGAACTTGTTGCTTACATCAGGAGGCATATTTAAGGATGCTAGCAGTGATAGTTCTGAGGATGAAGGTGGAATTGCTGATTCAGATGCTAGATCTCCTGATAATTCACTAATATCCAACTTCTCAGACGGTGAAAGCAATGGTAACAAAACACATCACGCTGCGCCAAGATTATATTGTTTTGCATTTCTGTGCTGCTTTTTAGATAGTTGGACGAGTCTATCAAACTTTTGGGCTTCCTTACTTTCTTCCCCCCACCCCATCTCGGTTTCTTTGCCATCATGTTATTGGTTTCTTATTGCTAATATTTTTCTTTTGAACGAATTTTGTCTCAGGATCTGTTGACTTGGAAAGAACAAACACCCGTAGAAGTATGAGAAAGAAAGAGTAAGTTTATGATGAAAAATGACGTTGGTTGCCTTTCCTGGTTGAAGATATGTTAAATATGTTAAATATGATCTGAGCATCTGTTGTTACAGAAATGTTGTGCATACATTTAGTGTCCTCACTTATATAGATATGCTAAAATGGAAATTACAAATGCCAATTGTCACCTCCTTTGAAATTTTTTGCTTGTAATTTTTGGGCCCAATATATTATTCAGTTTTCCCTAGTTTCTCCTCGTTAACTTCCAACAAAAAAAAAAACGTTTCCTTTCAGAGTATCTTTGAACTGCAATATTTTTGCCTTTTGTAGTATAGTTTATATTCTCCACTTGTAAACGTTTGTGATCTTGTAAACAGGCCTTCAAGCCCTGAGAATATGACCCTCGACATAATCCTTCGAAGTTCAAGTAGGTATAAGAAGGCAAAGCTCACAGCTGTGCAATCACTACAAGATGATACTGAAAGCCAGCCTGTCGATTTTGTTCCAGACAGTCAGCCTAATATTTAGTTTGTTATCGTCATTTACCTCCTCTCGGAGCAATTTTCCAGAATTCATTGCCTAAACCTTCTTGTGCTTGTCTAAGTTTGTTAATGGAGATTGTCAAGATATCAAAATTTTGTGAACTGAAGAAATCACAAGGAAATGAGATCCTTGGGTTCTTTCGATGCTTGCATGATGTTTCCATGCTGAGTCTATTCTGTTACATAACCAAAAATATTATTTTGAAGTAAATTATCAGTGGAACCCAACTCTATGCTTACTTCTTTTAGCACTTTTTTAACGTTGTTTAAGTTTGTTAGACCTATTACGACATCTGTATGTTTATTGAAGTTGAAAATGTTAAGCAGGTAGCTTTCTCTCTGGTATCCAATACGAAAACGAAGACTCCAACTTCAAAGACATCATATACACGGAAAGATATAGCTAATTGTCCAGATGACAGGAGAAACAATGATTGCCATTTGAAATAGATTCATTAACATAATCTGCAATTACAGGTGATTTGTTTGCTATCACATTGCTCAAAACTTGGAATCACTCGGACCTCATCCTGTTGAGCTGATTCAAAGCCGGCTGCAGAATGTTGTACAGCACCCAAAGAATGGCGGGAGTTACGACAAACAGCAGAAGCTGGCCCCTGCTATCACTTGAAGATGCATCGGCAATCATGGCGAGCTCACTGGCAGAGGCATCAGGTGCGTACATGAACCCTGATGCAGTCAACCCCCCTAATCCCAACCCAATTATCACACCCTTGTCACTGCGCATTCTGTTTATCTGGTTGAGTGCTGGCTGTAATATGTTGAACAGAACCCATGCTATGGCCGGGATAAGAGGTAGCAAAAGGGCTATACCACGGTTGTCACCGTCGGCTGCTATATCTGCAATTTGTTGGGCTGCGAAGGCAGGATCTGATGAGCTCAGGGCTGAGAAGACAGCTCCGGCGATGGCGGTGCTGGAGAGAAAGGTTGATAAGTTGGAATGTTCATTGGATTTTGATGAGATTAGTCCTTTCGGCAGGTTCTGGAGAGAGAGGAGGGAGATGGGCTTGGGGATCAGCTTTGGGGTGTTGTGGTTTCTGGTGGAGTTGATGCTTGTGCACTTGACACTCAGCACTGCCATTGTTGCCATGGTAGCTGCCATTGAAGTTGATTTGCTTGTTTCTGCTGAACTTTGCTCTTGATGGCCTCTGGCAGACAGTAGGGGAGATGCAGAATGAAGTAGGAAAGGTTGGGTTTTGGCAAAAAGTTCAGTTGTGATGAGATGAGATGGGAAGACAGAGGAGAAGCCAAGTCATGGTAATGTCAACCAATAAAATTGTTGGGAGTGGATTCTCTCTTATCCAATGGGTGGGACTGTGAGTCATAGATCTCTTATTTCCTACCCCACTTTACTTCTCTTATCACTTGAATAACTTGCTTTTCCTTCTCTTTTTTAAATGGTTCGAAATAAATAATTTTCATATTACGTCACGAAAGCATGGATTGAGATCTTGATATTTGATCTTTGAATGAACGAATGTTTAAATTTCTTATAATCAGTGTAATTCATGAGTGATTCATGAGTGAGTGAGTTTTTCGGTTTATAATTTGATTGCTCTCATTCATTAATGAATGACATTAAAAGCTATGAAATGAAATTTAAATATTATTCTATGACAACATACAAGACCAAATATGATAATTTATAACAAAAAAAAAAAAAAAAAACATGCATCTTCCCAAGCAATCTATGTTCTTCGCTGAAAGAGTAACCACAACAATATGTTGGAAATATTTTTATGTATCAGGAGGCATTGTAAACGTGAAGAGAAGAAATTGATTATCCAAGTTTACATGAAAATAATGTATATCCATGCTAGAAAATTTTCCAAGCAAGCACGAACATGGTTTCATAGCTGTTCATCAATTTAATTTCCCATGGCAAGCTTGGCTGTTGATCCAACGGCGGTGAATGGATCCTGCGTCCAAGCACTCCACCGTCCTAAACTGAACTTTGTGGCAGCCGTCCACGTTTTCGTAATCCCAGCACCCTTTCGGTTGCCTCCAAGCATTAAAAAACTTGCCCAAAACGAACACTGATTTCGATATTCACTGAAGTTTTTACCAAAGAAGCAACAAAAGCAACCATTTTTATGAACCCCAGTGGAAAATCTTCGGCTTTCATCGCTGAAATCCTCCATCCCACTATCCAATCAAGCTGTTACTCGAATGCTACCTCTGCAAATTCGCTGTTTTTCTCCTTGAACTTTGACCCATAAACCCCCTTCCCTTCCATCTCAATTTGGGGGTTCTTGTGAGCTTCATTTCTTCTTGTTTTCCCGATAAACAATGGTTTCCGTCTCATTTTACCGCCCAAACTTTGTGTTCTCTTCATTTCCGAACCGTGTTCCGACCTCAAATCCTCTATTTCATGGAGTCCAATTCCGAGGTTTATCCCACCATAAGCCTTTCCTTCGTGGTTCCCTTGCGGTGGCGAGATTTGGGTTTACACCCGAGTTCTTGCCTGACCCGGATCACGCCGAGGGCTTTTTGAGGGAGTTATTCGGCAAAGCTGAGAGCGTTCTTTACACGATTGCCGACGCCGCCGTGTCTGCTTCTCCGGAGGATGTTACCACCGCCAAACAGACCGAGGATTGGTTTACGGGGATCACCAATTATATGGAGAGCGTCCTTAAAGTACGTTATGTTCAGCTAATTATCAGTTATGAACATCATTGTTGATTTTAGTTTCCTTTGGCCTTGGTTTAGAGTTGGATTTACATAAAGTAGATGAAAATTGAGAATTGAACTTGTATTTAATCTTGTTGGCCTCATGTTTCAGATTCTTAAGGATGGCCTTTCTGCTGTACATGTTCCTTATGCCTATGGTTTTGCCATTATACTCCTTACAGTTCTTGTTAAGGCTGCTACGTTTCCTTTGACGAAGAAGCAGGTTATTTGCTGAACCAATAAATACTTTTATTCCCATGAATTCATTTAATGTTCTTCACTCTTTTGTTGAACTCAGGTAGAATCTGCAATGGCGATGCGTTCTTTGCAACCGCAAGTGAAGGCTGTTCAGCAACGCTACGCTGGGGATCAGGTTGAAACTTTTCTCTTGCTGTAGGATGTATCTCGGGAACGACAGGGAAAGAGTTTACTCATAATACTTGTTTCTAGTACCAATGTACTTTATGAAGCTATGCTTTATTGTAAATTAGCACGATGTTGATAGCTAGTTAGAATTGTCTTCTCGAATTGTGGCATCGCGATTATGATAGTTCTGGCTCATAATCAATGGCGTTGTAACATACCTTTTAGAAGAGGAAAACTGTTTTTTAACCATGCATCTAATGGTCATGAGAGTGGCAGCCACTTCTAGTCTCCTTCTTAGAGGTAGCAATTTAAATAAGCTTGAATCGAATGTTCTTCGTTATATGATCAAATTTTACTTTTTAAATCTGTCTGCAGGAGAGGATTCAAGTTGAGACCGCTCGACTGTACAAATTAGCTGGCATAAACCCACTGGCAGGTGCTAAAATTGTGCCTGTTTTTAGAGTTCTAGTTACTCTGATAAGTGTAGTAGTTAGACGTTAGCTCCTTGTTCATGCTTCTGTGTGAATTTATTTGGCTCGGGCTTGGTTCTTCTTACACAAATAAGATTTTCTCATTATGGACAACCCTTGGATCCTTCCTATTGATTATGTTGATATGCTTAGTGAAGTGAAGCTAAGCTACTAGATCAATATTAGTTCAAGTCATGCATCGATTACTTTTTGGATTTTGCCTAGAAAATGTATGCGAGTAAGTTCATGCATTTGTGAACTGTCATTCTATCCTTGATGGAGGTTTGGTGTGAGATCCCACATCGGTTGGAGAGAGGAACGAAACATTCTTTATAAAGGTGTGGAAACCTCTCCCACGTGTTTTAAAAACCTTGAGAGGAAGCCCGAAAGGGAAAGGCCAAAGAGAACAATATCTGCTAGTGATGAGTTTGGGTTGTTACAAATGGTATCAGAGTTAGACACCGGGTGGTGTGTTAGCGAGGAACGAGTGCTAGCGAGAACGCTGGGCCTTGAAGGGGGGTGAATTGTGAGATCCCACATCGGTTGGAGAGGGGAACAAAACATTCTTTATAAATGTGTGGAAACCTCTCCCTAGTAGACGCGTTTTAAAAACCTTGAGGGGAAAGCCTAAAGAAGACAATATCCACTAGCGGTGGATTTGGGCTTGGGCTGTTATATTTGGAATATTTGAATCAACGCAGTTATTGCTTGGTATCTCATATGTCAATGTTATCTCGGTTTGCAGGATGCCTACCCACATTGGCAACAATTCCTGTATGGATTGGACTATACAGAGCTCTCTCAAATGTGGCCAACGAGGTGCTCTTTGAATTTGTTCAGAGCTTGTGATTTCTCACTATCGCTTATCCCTAATCTGATCTGATTGCCTAAATTTAAGGGTCTCCTCACGGAAGGTTTTTTCTGGATACCCTCTCTGGCTGGTCCAACCACGATTGCTTCTCGACAAAATGGGAGCGGTATCTCTTGGCTCTTTCCATTTGTTGTAAGTATTTTGGTATAACATGGCATTTGTTGCAAGTATCTAGTGCCAATTCTTATATTATGGTTGCATCGACTTCTGAGCAGGATGGTCATCCACCGCTTGGGTGGTCAGATACTTTTGCGTATCTTGTCCTGCCTGTGTTGCTGGTCGTCTCACAGTACATCTCTGTTCAAATTATGCAATCGTCGCAGGTCGGTTGTTTTCTTGATGTTCATCAGCATGTTACTGTCTATAGAGGCATCTTGGCTTGTTTTCATTTATGTTAATTCTCAACTCTTGGTCTGAAAAAAACATTTGTAGCTTACAAATATAATCTGTTCATTTTGGGTTATCTAACATATCTTGAAGTTATGACGTCCAGAATAATGATCCAAACATGAAGAGTTCTCAAGCCCTATCGAAGTTCCTACCGTTAATGATCGGATATTTTGCACTTTCGGTTCCTTCTGGTCTAAGCCTTTACTGGTAAGCAAATTTTCCAATCAGGACCATCTGTAGGCAAAATAGATTGGTCATTTCTGGGTCTACTAATTGTTGTATTATAGTCTCCTTGAAATTTTCAGCATCTCTTATATCTGTCAGATGTTATAACTCAGGCTTACCAATAACATCTTGAGCACAGCTCAGCAAGCGTGGCTTCAAAAGTTAGGTGGTGCGAAAACCCCGGACAAACGATTGATTGATGAAATCATGAAACAAGAACAACCCCAAATCCAGAGCCAAGCGCCCAAGTTAGACTCAACCTCAAGTAGCACGGTAACTCGACAAGAAGAGAAGCTGACAGCAGAAGGGCTAAAACCTGGTGAAAGGTTAGAAGCTGTTTGTTACGAAAAACAAGTGTGGGGTTTAGTAATGACTGGGTTTTGATGTGTTGATAATTTCCAGATTTAAACAGATAAAGGAGCAAGAGGCTAGGATGAGACAGCAAAGTGAAGAAGAAAAAAGGAAAGCTGAAGAGGCAGCCAAGGTTGAATCTCTGACAATAAATGATAGCGACAAGAGTGCAGTTGTTGGAGTTGGTGTCAATGGCAGTCTTTCTAGAACGGATGTAAAGGAAGACCAAGGCTCCATATCTATGACTACCATGCAACGAACAGATGTGGAAAACAAGCCAAGTGCAACTCCAGAGGAGGTAAACCCCTCTTGTATAAACTCGTCGCACTTTTGTAGTTTGAAATTCATAATTAAATGCTTATTTCAGGGAGTACACGAGACATACACTGGAGTGGCCAAGGATGCCAAACTAAAGGGAGAAGAACAAAGAGAGTAACTGGTTGACGCAAGATAGAGATAGAGATAGTGTTTTGATTTACAAGCCAGTAGGTTAGTTCACATGGCTGATATGGCAGGAAAGCCAATTGTTTCGTTCAGCTCGATACCGTGAAGAACACTCCATCGGGAGGTATTCAAGCTTCTTTTTCCTGATGGCCAGTTGAGTTTCAGAGTTTACTCGTCCATCATAGATTTGGATTGGGAATGATATGGAATGTAATTTGAAATCTGTACAAACACAGATGAGTACACTTTCTTTTCATGTGGGTTTGATTAGAATGATGAGTAATAATGAATGGCGCTTAGAACACATTTTTTTGAAGTTGAACAATCTTGAGCTGAAGCTTGCCCTGTTCTGTCTGTATCCTCATCATCATCCATCGTTCATTTCTCTACCACAGTCCAGATTGGTACAAATCTCGTTTTGTTTAATGTGAAGCCCACAACCCATTAACATAGTGGGCCGGGCCTCCGTCTGTGGCCCAATTGAGAGAGAGAGAGAGAGCGAGCCACGTGATAATAATGGAATTTGGACTTTTTAGAAGAATTCGATAAGGTGGGAAAGTATAGTTTTTTTTATATATAAAATTACAAAACTTTTTAATGATTTCCCCATTTTTATTTATTTATTTGTCACATCTTACCAAGCACATGATTCAATCATTAACACATCCTTTTTTTACTTTTTTTTTTTAAAAAAAAAATTATTATTATTCTTAAAAAACAGTTGGAATTTCTCAATTGGATTAAAAAATAAAAATGTGTAAGATGCTAGTTGAACATAATTATATTCTTCTCTACCCTTAAATCATGGAAATTGCAAGTTAAGTTAAGCTGGGCTAAGAATGAATATTTGTATTTATGTACTTAATTAATTATAGAATTATAATTATAAATAATACGTATGGGTGCATTTAAAATAATGAATAGATTATTATTTAATCCATTGAATTTTTTTTTATCATAAATTCAATATATAATAAACACAAATGATGACTAATCTTAGCTTGTTGTTAATAAAAACATGGTTTAGGTCACAAGTTCGGGTTGACATGATTAACTATATTATTAAAAGATTTTAAATATTGATTATAAAAATATTTTGTAATTTAAAAAAAGAAAGTTGAGAAAATATTAACTCCACCCTCCGTCATAAGGAATTTATCCAACATAATTTATATCATTGATTTAACTGGAGCACATGCCTCTCTCAATATTCATATTCCCATGGGAATATTCTTTTTCAATTCTTCCTCGGTTACATCTATATTTTTCACCCAACCTTAATATTTAAGGTAAAAATAGAAAGTTTACTTCTTGATTTTTCTAAGAGACCTCGTAATAAATGATATATGTCACTTGTTTTCATGAGCTGGTAAGATTAACGCACTTTATTAATTTAATACAGAATTAATGATGTATTTGCTTTGCCTTTAAGAATTGAATGCAGAATTCCACTTGCCTCAATTTCTAGATATATCTATTTATATATAATATGTGTAAAAATATTTAATTTAATTGTTTAAACATTTAATTTCCAGATAAACAAAACCGAGTATTTAAATAAAAAAAAAAAAAGAATTAATTAAGTTAAGTAATAAACATTAGTTAGGCAATTAAGACCATGTGAGTGTTTCCTAATTCCTCCCTTCTAGATGCATGTGGAGGAGAGGCAACATTATTTTTGTGGTTTGACTTTCTTTTTTTTCTTTTTAAATAAAATTTAACTTCAAATACATTTGGTAAATATAAATAAAAGCCTAATTTGCAGTATATAAATCATGACAACTTCAATGATATAAAAATATAATTTAAAATATTTTTCAAACTTGTTATAATATTTAATTTTTTAAAAGAAAAGGTCAGAGGGTCCTTGATTAGGGCAACCCGCGGTGCCCTACAGCTACCAAAGGCCACAATAATGGAGGTGGGGTTTGCTTGATAAGCCGCAATGACCACCCTCCAGCCCCATCCACCTCCTTGTTCCACTCTTTTTTTTATTATTATTCCTTAATTAATCAAATAATATTCTCTTATTATTGCTAATCGGTGCATTTTCCAATTAAATCTCGACCTATATCAATATTTTTAAGGCTATGTTCAAATAGTCCCTAATCTAGCATCATTTTTTTTATAATGAAAATAGGTTATAATTTGTTTTTTAAAATAGGGTGGGTTATTTAGATTATTATTTCGAGTGACATAATATATGTTTATAAAACCATAAGCTATATTATTTTCTTGAGGGTAAAAAATTATTTTGAATAATGTGGGTTGAATGTTTGGGGAATAAGACAGGATAACACAGGATGGAGTATGAAAACGGGGATCGGAATAATGTAAACCCGAGTTGGGATAAGTGAAGTTCCCGGAACCCAAGCAGCAGTTTAAGGCTAATCCACGCCATTTGTTCGTACTACGAAACCATAATATTAAAAAAAAAAAAAAAAAAAATACATACCCTTGTTCTATCTATAAACTTGAGTATCTTATCCACCTCCGGGGTTATAATAATCTCAGAATTGTGGTGTTTAGTTTAGGTGATGGAATCTGAGGGCTTACATCGCTGGTGATAACATCTGAGAATTCAAAGGTCAAAGCATCGGATGGGTGGGATTCAACGGAGCCGATCATGGAGGGTGGGGTTGTCTGAACGAGACCCACATGGGAGAACGTGGCTTGCTTACAAAATTAAAAAAAAAAGGAAAAGAGAAGTCCACGTCAGCTTCTTGACGGACGGTACGAACCTCCCATGTGGCACAAAATTTTAATCTGACATGAAAAAAGAAAAAAAGAAAAAAAGAGAGATAATTTGGATTTGGATCTAAATAGAATGACGCCGACATCCATTTTGAAACTTGGGAAGTGTCGGCAAATTTTCTTTAACGTTCTTGCATGAATTACCTTTCTGGAGGAGGCGAGGTTAGAATTTGAATGCATAGTAATTAAATATAACGTTTTTACTACAGAACTCAACCCAGTTATGTTGTTAACGGCCAACTACTTTGCGCCCAACTGAAATCATGGATGAATGCGAGCTTAGATTTTGGTTTTTTTAAAAAATAAACAATCTTTTCAATTTTTTTAATTTTAAATAATGAAAGCTCCATTTGTGATGTGAGGCTTTATAAAAACCAGCATTCTTTACCCCTTTCTTCATCACCGTCGTTACCAAACTCGATCCTCTGTTTTTGCCTCCTCTGTTTCACACACAGAAAGAGGGAGAACAAGAAAGACAGCCATGGAAATTCCAAGTTTTCTTCCCATAATAACCTTCACCCTTCTTCTCCAAATGTGCTCCATTTCATCTTCTCCAGTAGCCGACCCTGAACTAGTCGTCCAAGAAGTTCTCTCGTGAGTTCTTTTCCAATTCTGAAACTTTGAACACATATTAGTGGGAACATTTTTGTGAATATCTTTTTGTTTTTTTCTTTTTTGTTGGTCATGGTTTCAGGAGCATCAACAATGCAACAACAAGAAGGAATTTGGGGTTCCTTTCCTGTGGAACTGGAAACCCAATAGACGACTGTTGGCGGTGCGACCCCAATTGGGAGAAGAATCGAAAGCGTCTAGCCGACTGCGGCATTGGGTTCGGGAAGCGAGCCATCGGCGGCAAAAACGGCAAATTCTACGTAGTCACCGACCCATCCGACAAGGACGTGGTGAACCCAAAACCAGGCACTCTTCGCCACGCCGTAATCCAAAAGGAACCCTTATGGATCACCTTTAAACGCGACATGGTCATCAAATTAAAAGCAGAGCTGCTGATGAACTCTTTCAAAACCATCGACGGTCGGGGTGTGTCGGTCCACATAGCCGGCGGGCCTTGCATTACAATTCAGTATGTGACCAACATTATCATCCACGGCATCAACATTCACGACTGCAAGCAAGGAGGGAACACGTACGTTAGAGATTCGCCGGAGCATTATGGTTGGAGGACTCTGTCCGACGGCGATGGGGTTTCGATATTTGGAGGCAGCCATGTTTGGATCGACCATTGCTCTTTGTCGAATTGTCGTGATGGGCTGATTGATGCGATTCATGGGTCTACGGCCATCACTGTTTCCAACAATTACATGACCCACCATAACAAAGTAATGCTTTTAGGACACAGTGATTCGTATACTCAAGACAAGAACATGCAAGTCACCATTGCTTTCAACCATTTTGGTGAGGGCCTTGTCCAGAGAATGCCACGGTAAGTTCAAATTTAAAATAGCTTCATCTCGTGAATACCAGTGTGGGAAGTCATTGGGTTTTCCTTATTTTGGCAGATGCCGGCATGGGTACTTTCATGTGGTGAATAATGACTACACTCATTGGATAATGTACGCCATTGGTGGAAGTGCTTCCCCTACCATCAATAGCCAAGGGAACAGATACCTTGCTCCCAATAACCGAGATAGGAAAGAGGTCAGAATTTAGATTCCAATTATTTCTTTAAAACTTGATTACAAAAGAGAGTTTATGAACTCAAGTGGGTGATGGTTTCAGGTCACAAAGCGGGAGGATGCACCACAAAGCAAATGGAAGAATTGGAATTGGAGGTCAAGTGGAGATTTGATGTTGAATGGAGCATTCTTCACGAGATCGGGTGCTGGATCGTCGTCTAGCTACGCGAGGGCGTCGAGCTTGAGTGCGAAGTCGTCGTCGTTGGTGAGTACGATGACTGCAGGAGCAGGGGTGCTGCGGTGCCGAAAGGGGTCCCGGTGTTAGTCCAGCCACCCTGGGCAGTATATTGAAGATAAATTAGCAAGGAGAGATTTGGAGATCTTCTTGTATAGTAATTTTTACTTTTGCTTGCTTGATTGGTCACAACTGAAAAGCTTCCTTTCTTTTTTTCTTTAAAAAAAAAAAAAAGAAAAAAGAAAAAAGAAAGGGTTAAATTTCAGAGTGAGTGGCCCACCATTTGCAATTCTGTCCGATTACAATATAATATAAAATATTACTATTTGAAAAGAAGAGAGGACTGTATTCTCTTTATAAACAGGGAGTCCCCCATGATTCCCAATAATTTATAAGATAAGCCCACAATTCAAATTATGAATATTTTGATCATTCATGTAATTATTAACCTTTGGATCAATGGTGTGGTACCGAATAAAGTACATAAAAAGACAGCGATAGAATCTTTGTAAATGAAATGAATTGAGACTTGGAACGGAGAAAGTTGTTGATTATATATATATATGTATATGTATATGTATGTATATATGCGTGATGAAAGCTTTTCATGATATAACTAAAAATTTAGAAGGAACGGCAAATTTAATATGTTCTTTAAACCAATGTAAAAGTAAACTGGTAAAGAACCTAATAAAATGCAACGCTAAAAAGGAAGGCCACCCAGAAGCATACCAAAAAGATGTTCAATCCGACAAACGCTACACCAACGAAAACAGTGTGATTTTGAAGTGTATGAATGCCAAAGCTTACCAACAAATATTTTAAAAGGAAACAGAGATGGGGGAAGGCAATAGGGAAGTGAGTTCACGAGACACAATGAATGGGGATAGAAGCTGTTCCCTGTCAGAGCAAAGAGAGGCAGCAAACGCACAGCGGGCGGGTGGACTTTTGAGGCGTTGCCCCATAAATTACATTGCCACTTCCTGTCTCACCCCCTCATTTATTACTATCATATGCATATAGTGTCTTAAAGCTTGTAAATTCAGCTGCAAAGATGTTTAAAATCAATCATTAAGTAGTAACTGCTGTTTTTACAACTACGGAGAAAATAATAATGTAGGACAGGGAAGAGAATTCCAATTATTTGCATCAAGTTAATCCCAACCGTAGAACTTGCATGCCCATGAGATGCTCAGCTTTTTCAATGGCTCCCTTTTCGAATATGATAAACTTCAATCACACCATTTATTGCATTTCCATTCCTTTGTAAGCAAAAGAAGAAGAAAAGAAAAAGGACCCACAACTTCTTTTCCCCAATATTAAAACAGAACCACATTCACATTTCAACTAAAACATGATTTAAGGAAAAGTAGAGCACTCTCTCATAAGGGCCACGGCAGCTCCTTGATTGTGGAAAACATCTGGGGCAAAGAGGATTCACTTCTATCATCAAGATTCCCTAATTTAAACAAAAGTTCAAAAGAAGGAAAGAAGGATAGGCACCGCAAAGGGGATGACTGACCAAGTCGATCATACAAAATAGTCCTCCATTCATTGATGATAACATCAGAAGCCCAGAAAAATGAACTTACAGCAAAATAGATGGCGAATGATGTTGTAACGTTGCTCGTGTAGAAGCCACGACCACCTCGTGATGCCTAATATTCAGCTCATCCCTTACACTCACACATAAACAATAATCTATCGTCCCAAAAAAAACCACACTCGGAATATTTAAATGATGCCTGCAAAATTCCAAGGAACGTCCCTATTTTACTAACAGTAAGAAAAAATGTCTATCACGTCACAGACTGACCCATGCCATTAGAAAGCCGTGGCTCAAAAGTTGGCAGCACAAAGCACAGTAACATTATTAATATTCTAAAGGAGAAATGACATCATCAATCTTCAGGATCATCTTCACCACCTGAGTTGCCAATAAAATCTGCTGTTGCTTACCAATCAAAGTCTCAAATACATTTTGCTCCCGCATGTCATTTGTGCCAATATCATTGCAGTCTATTCCACAATATGGATTGTACTCCTGCACATTAAATTCAAATCAATGATGAGTCTTTCAAGCAAAAGTAGAAGCTTGAAGTCACAAATATTAAATCTATGAGTCAGTAGTGATTTGAGATGGTTGTTAGTCTCACTTACCTTAATTTGCTGAGATTTTACAGCAGAAAGTGTTTCGATTGGTTGTAAACCACTATTCTCCGCAAGAGCCATTGGAACAGAATCCAGGGCATCAGCAAATGCCCTAATAGCATACTGCAAAAACAAGGATAAAATATTCAACATGCTTTGTCCTTTTAGAAGAGGCTATTGTTAAGAAAAAAATCCTCATACCTGCTCAACTCCAGGGTATTTATCAGCAGCAGCCTCAACAGCAACTGAACAAGAAATCTCAGCTGAACCACCGCCATACACAATAGAGTTATTGCGGATGAGATTCCTAGCCACACATAAAGCATCGTGGATACTGCGTTTTGTCTCCTCTATCATCATTTTGTTACCTAAAACAAAACATTGCATGATATAGCTCAGGAGCTTGTAATCATCAACGGTCTTGAATCAGGACTTTGACTTGCGTTCCATCATATCTATCTACTAAATTTTATTTACTCTTTTATATTGTACAATTTTTTTTCCATCTTTTCTGATTTGCTAATGTAAACAGCCTGTCTACCTACTTGTGCTGAAACTGGATACTGCCAGTCTGCTTCCCAATTTAAAACTGTGCAGTCATGAACTCGGTTCACTTTTGGCCATAATGCTATAAACTTGCCACCACTGGCAGTGACAAGTCTTTACTACTGAGTCAAATTTGACACATCTTTTCTCTAACCACTCGTCAAATTCTATCGATCAACACATAAATGCTAAAATAAACTACTTGAAAAAGGAACAGAATAACAAAGGATCTACTTACCTCCACGGATAAAAATGGTCACAGCCCTTGAATTTGCACAATGTTCAATGTATATCATCCGATCTTTTGTTGTACCAAATGATTTTTCTCGAACCAAACCAGCCTTTAAATGAGGATAAGAGAAAGGGAGATATCATTGTGAGTTAGAGTTGGTTGATATATACAAAGAGTGAAATTCAGAAAAACAACAAACATAAGATACAAGTAACCAATACTTCATTCTTTCACCAAATCCCCCAACAAGTTCACAAGAGAGGAATTGATTGGCAATTTAACTCAGAAGACCAAGTTAAATTTATTTTTGATCCACATTAACTCCAAATGGTTTAGACAGAAAATCCTTGCTATCCCATGAAGCAAAGGGATGTGACAGCAATACCATGAAATTACTTGAATTAAACTAAAGATAAACGAGATATGATCAGCATTACCTTCCCAAGTTTCTCTGAAGTCAATTCCTGGAACCTAGGGACTATTCTCCCACCTACGAAGTAGATAAACCAAAAATTTAGAAAAAGAAGTGAATTAGAATAATATCATCCTGGGTGAATGACAATTGAAAAATTAGGGATCCCAACGGAACCTCATTAGTTTATTTCAGTTTAACGTCAACTAATTCTTAGCATAATTACAAATCAAAACATTTTAAATCTTAGCATCAGACAGAAACTAGTTTGAGAATAAAAAGATTAGCCAGGGACACAATTATGCTCTTTTTAACAAGAAACAAATAATAAAATACTCAAAATATTCAGTAGTTACAGAACTCTTGAGAATATTAAAACATCCCAACGACTGCTAGGCGGAATCTAAGGGTTTTCACTGCCGAGCCAAAACATCATTTGTCACCAACATGACTAATTCCAAAAGCTTATAAAATAATTGAGAAATAAACCTGTGGCTATTGCTATCAACTCTAGTTCCACACCACCAACCCATCTCACAGCTGGCAAATTTCGGTGCAGCAGCAGATGATTTGCCTCATCATCAAACCCCCATTGACAAATAACCAATGTAGCGCCAACATCCTGAAACAAAACATGTATCAGCACAAGAATAAAATAAATCTTCCATGAGAAGGAAAGGAAAAAGAAAACCCTAAATTTCAATATTAGCAACGGAAAAACTAAAAAACATCGAAACATAGTCAATGGAACAAAAACAAAACAATTCTAAAAAAAATTATTAAAAGAACCATAGGAGAATATCCCTTCAAAAAAAAGAAATGCAAGTCCAAAACACTCATTGATGGGGACATTTCCAGGCCTCATCCATGAAACCTATCTATTCCCTAATAACCTCTCTCAAGCCAGAAAGACCACAAAATAGATAATAGAATTACATTATAGAACCAGATTTGGTAATTTCCGTTTCTACCTTGCATTTTTGCACCATGTCGTCAAAGTACTTCTGTTCTTGTAGTCTCAACGTCTGGAACTTCTCCACTGTATCAATATCAACCTTATGCTTTGTCTTGGGTTTCGGAGGTTCAAACGGGCAAGTTAATATGGCAATCTTGGCATCTTCAATTTGCTTTGGCATCTGAGGGTGACTCATGTCCTTGTCAACAATAATACCATATACAAGTTCAGTATCTTCTAACTTCCCCCCTACTTTCCCCTCAACTTTTATCAAGTCTAAGTTAACATCCCTTCTTTCAAGATCTGCCACAGAAACAACCGCTTTAACAGCAATTTCTGCTAGACTGCGCTTACAGCGATTCACACTGCAAGATCAGGAAAAGTGGTATAAACAATATTGAAGTTACAATACATCATAATAAAGATTCATCAACCATCATTCTTTAGCCTGCAAAATTAGATTACAAGAGCACTTGACTGCTGGTTTACACAACCAACTCAGTTGCTTAAGTTTTCTATGTTCATAATAGGATCTCCGATGCAACATTCATGATGCTACCAAACCAAGCTAAGAGGAAACCACGGTTTAATAATTTTCATCTGTTTGTGTTTCACATAACCAAGCCTAAGCACTACCAATCATTTAAGTTACATTTTATGAGAACTAGATTAATGATACTATAATTGCATGTGAGCGAGCACAAGACTAACAAACAAGATATGCAACACTTATTAAATATTATCAAACAAAGGTTACAATAATTATACTTTGTACCCTTAAATATAACATGCACTAATGAATTTAATCCGTCCAACATCAGTAAAAGATCAAGAATGCTGATGTAATTAAGAAACAGCAGAGTATACTGGACAAATAAAGTCATGTCACCGTACATCTTTGATGATAAAGTGGTCATGCAAGTTTGAACCAAAGGCTCTAAGTCTGTCACTCCAAAATCAAACTTCTGGGCAATATGCTCCAGATGGTCAACAGCTATCTTTGAGGCCAGCTCATAACCCTCTGCAATTCGAATAGGGTGAATTCCTCGTTCTAATAGTCGCTCGGCCTGTTCTAAGAGTGCACCAGCCATTACAACCACACCAGTAGTGCCATCACCAATCTCATAATCCTGACTTCGAGACAACTCAACCATCAATTTTGCAATTTGATTATCAACATCCATCTGCTCCAAGATTGTTGCACCGTCGTTTGCTGAAAATTACATAACAAGTGGAATTTACAGGAAAATTAAACAACAATACAAAATAGGCAACACTTCCAAGACGTTTAACTTCAACATTAAAAATGAAACCGAACTTACAACACTACTGAAATTTTCTAAAAAATAGAAAAACAAAACATCATATAAATTTTGGGAAAATATTATTGAATATAATGTAAAAATGTATTGTTTTCAGTTACATCCATGATACCATACCCAAAAAAAAAAAAAAAAAAAAAAAAAAAAAAAAAAAAAAAAAAAAAAAAAAAAAAAAAA